GCGTCAGGTGGTTTCGTGTGCAAGTTTGCTAATGGTTTGGACCCAAACTTCTCTTGTCGGGCTTCTGCAGACTATTGGGTCATGAGTCTAGCGCCCAAGCTAGCGAATGGTCATTGGACGGCGGCAGATGGTTTCGTGTGCAAAATTTCCAGTTGCTTTCCCATGAATATCTGTTATCTAGTTCGTCTACATTCTTGAGGGGTGAGTCGAGCGCTCGCACAACAAGTAGATTCTCAAGATGGCTGCAGTTGTTTTCGTTCACAAGTTTGCTACTGGTTTGCTACAAGGTTCGGCTGTCTAGCTTCTTCAGACTCAGTTTCTTAACCCTTATGTGACTACACCCACCAATGAGCTCCTTTCCCAGCTCCGATGGGTCGAGTGCTCGAACCAGAGAAGATTCGGAAGAAGACAGCAGTTGCTTTCGATGTCAAGGTTTCCAATGGTTTCCCCACCCTCGTTTGATACCATGCTTTTTCAGGCTCTTGAGAGGTGAGTCGAGGTCATCCAAAGAGTTGGGGAGGTCTCAACGGGGTTACAACAGGGTTTTCGCCTGATTGAGAGCGGAGTATACGATTGAGAGCGGGAGCCAAAAAAAATGAAATTTCGGGTCCAGACGCCTCTTGCCATTTCTTGGGAAGTAGGGGGCGGGCTCTTCCAAGAAGCGGCGCAAATTGAAGGCCTCATCAGCAGCGTCACGAGCATATGCGTGTCATCGCGATCGGATGCTGCAGCTAGGAGCTAGACAAGTTGCTGGATTTCCCCAGATTGGCTATTCCTGCCTCAAACTGTTTCAGGGCGATTCGATCGCGGGCGGTGAGCTCTGCTGTAGATTCTGCTCCCCGCTGTAGCTCCACAACGAGAGACGCCCACAGGATGACCAGGGTATCGGCTTGTAGCTACGGGCTAGGCCTTCAATTCAAGTCACGCAGCAAGCTCCACCTCTCAGCGGTAGTCCAGCTACAGCGCATCGCGCAATCTCGCTCTCAATCAGAAACTTTGCTCTCAATCACACGAAAACCTTGTGGTTCTCTTACCACAGTCCTACCGCATTTGGATACGTGTGCTGCTTGCCTATGCTTTTTTCTGGTTTATTGTGCGGCAATGGTTATTATTTGATCTCGGCATGCGTTAAGTTTTGGCCGCCTACCACACATTGTGTAAATAGTGAATGAACCGTCAATCTGGAATTTTGGCAGCCTCTTAGTGGACCGAACCCGTGAGTACTTGGACGATAGGGGCATGTTTGGAATGTACATGTGATGCATACTTTTCGGGACCTTCGTGGAATCATTTCGATAATATTTCATGGTATTTTGGAAGGGTTGGCCAAGGTATTGATTTTTTACGGGCAGTGAGTCCTGGGAGTCATCATGCGTGAAAGAAAGGGGGGCTTTGAATTCGTTCTTAAGACTGTCTGCCATACACTTCGAGAGGTATGAACAACGGGGAACCCTTGTGAGGAATGGGAAAGGGAAAGTCTTCCGTGCTGAGGAACAGGGAGCTGCCGGCAGAGGGAATCCGTATGAGGGAATCCGTATGGTTTCAATGAACGGGTGATCTAGCCCACACATATGGCAAAGCCGAGGGACCTGTTCGAGGATGATATTCTACATGCCTGAGTTCTTGCAGGGATGGTTCTTCCGGCCGAACTGGCGGTTGATGGTTGTCCCCGCTCCCAGACCCGCTGCCCAAGACGTCTATGTCGAAGATGGAATGTGCTTGGTTACGAAGACAAAGGCAGGTGCGTGTACTAGGAGTCGGCATCTCGTAGAATCTTGCACACTTGTGAACGGCGGAAGTGTCATAGGGGGAAGCTGGCCTCCAAAAGCCCTTTACACGAGTGGATTGAGCGTCCGATAGAATCCTGATGGTAACATCGACCGCCAGGACATCGCGGTCGTTGAACTACGGACTATGCCGTGCCGTGCAGCTTGGATTGGACAGACCGTTTCGATGCTGCTGCTGACTAGCATGCCTCCAGGCGGTGAAAATACCGAGATTTCCGAGAAATTCTTGAATTTTCACGGTAAACGATGTGCAGGAAGTCCTTGTGGCACGGTTCGAACGACAGACTTGGAACAGGTGATTCCCGTACCTCGTTTTCCCTCAGAGGTTCTCTCCCCACCTCGGTAGTTGTCCCTACCTTACCCACCGCCACAGGGCTTCTTCTGCGAACAGGAAATGTTTCCCCCTAGACATGGAGCAAGCTCCAGGTTTTCGTTTGCACGTACGGCTTAAACGTTTCGCCCATGACGGAGACGTTGACTACCGACCGATGTGTGACGAGTCCCACTTGGATATGGTCCTGACAGATGGAGGTGTGTTGTTGTCTGCCTGGGGCTCCCTAAAAACGAATTGACTTCCAGGTTTTGTTTCAGTACGAAGTTTGCAATTTTGCTTGGCCCTGATACCGGGACAATGTCTGCAGTAGTAGCATACACTCTCCCCCCGAAGCGGTGGCAGGAAAGCGCACAAGAACATTTGCGAAAAAGCCGTCACCGCGAAGACCAGTAGTTTCGGCTGATGCAGGCAATCGTTCACACTTCAACCCAAACGTCAAGCATGATACAGTAGTCCACTACCACAATTCCGACACTTGTGCATACGACCTTGTACTCAAGGTTTAAAGGAGGTGAAGCCGTGGGAGGTAGCTTGCTCCTAGAGATAGATGAAGGTTCTGTTGTTGACACACTTGTCCACGACCACGTTGAGATGGGCAAGTTCCTTGTTATTGCTGAGAGACGATCAGCAAGGGTCTGAGATGAAGTGGGGATCCAGCTTCATCTCAGGGGGCACACAGAGTAGACAACTCTAAGGGGGTAGGGGTCAGAAGGGTATACCTCCTGATCGACCCACATCCTATCAACAATAAGATGTACCCTATTCATGCTGGCAGCCACATTCCTTAACACTAGCCCACCCTGAATACCATATATACAGATTCTATACTCAAATCAATGCTCAAATCTTAACAGCTACAGTAAGATTTACCTGATGATTAATGATCATGAATCGAAGATATGACTCTTCACAAAAAACCCAAAAGGAGGGTGAGTTGTAGAAGTAGGTAGAAGAATCCCGAATCAACTCCCCACACCATCATTGAGACGAAGAATGCGAATGGTCACAAGACGGAACATCGACATCTCAATGACAACGCGTGGAGGGATAACGCTACGACGAACCATATTGCTGCAGAGCACGCTATTCTGAACAGACGACGACAGAGGAAACAAAATCAATGTCCAAACGCCACACACCACTCGTTTACGCGCACCCGCGCGTATCACAACTGGAGGAATGAGGGTGACTACCCGAGAGAGTCCAAAATACGGCGACGAAACTCAAAACCCAAACAAATTTCCGACCGAATACGGCCATTGATACTGGACGCGACGCAAACGGAAAACTCAACTCAATCTTGGATAACATCAACAAAGGGCAGGAGTTAAGAACGACAGGCAAAGGCACGGAGAGCGAATGCCAGCGTGCCAGGGTGTCCAACTCGTATAAGGAGACGGCAAGGGCAAGACCTAATGAGGACCAAAGACTCAAAGCACAAACAATTATTGCAAGAGAGACGGTCTGACGAACTGCGCCATGGCTCGTTGGCGATACGTATCACACAAAGACAAAAAACACAGAAAAGTCGTAGAGATACACACAACAAGACGACGACTCAGGGGTGCGACGGTGATGAAGGCGTCGCCCGAAGGTGGCGATGATAGAGACGAAGCAGAACGAAGTGTGGGTGACGACGAAAATCCACGGGAGAAGGCGACGCAACGGGATGGAATCCCGAAGCAACAAGCGTATGCGATACTTCTGCGGCACGATGGAGCTAAAAAAAATAAAAACAAGACAAACATTAGTTGGCGAACAGGCGAACGAGGAAACGCGGGGAACTTGGTGTCCAAGTGTCCCGAGGCAAGAGGCACCGACGAAACTTGGGGGACTCTTTTTCCAAGTGTTCAGAAGCAGACAACACCGACGAAACTTGGGGAACGCTTTTTCCAAGTGTTCAGAGGCAAACAACACTGAGGAAACTTCGGAGGGAGCCCGTCGAGAGAACCAAAGACCAACAACAACAATATATAAGGAAAGGCGAGAGAGAGCGTACATCCGGGTCGCGGCAGTTCACTGATTCAGACGAATGCAAGCAACAAGAAAGAAGGATCACTCGACACTGCGTGTCTTGAGGGGGCGTTGCCCCAGCGTCCAAAACAAAAACATAAGCCAACAAAAGAAAAGAGACAAGACAGAAAAAACAAAACAAAACAAAAACGGGAGGTGAAAAGAAAAAAATATCCAAACGCCGGCGAAAAGGATGGCACAAAAGACCAAAATAGGCCGTTTGCAACGAAAAAAACGACGCCACAAGAAGAAATGTTGGGACAGCCGACGGTAAAGAGTCAGTCAGGAGCCGAGTGCGACCACGGGTGTCGCCCAGAGGCCCCGAACGATGTTTCTCTAAACACCATGATCCACAGACGGCGTCCAAGGCGGTGGAGTAGAAGTACGCAGGCAGGGGCAGAACGCTTGGGCCCGAGTCATCCAAGAATCGAACGATGTACGAGCCGTCTTGATGAGCACCAATACGTCCGGTCCACCACAATCCATCACGGGCCTTACACCATAGCCGCGCGCCAACAGGGAAGGGCGAAGCGCTGAAACGACGAAGCCAAGTCGCGTGAAGCACAAGATCAGCCCCAGGAGGCAAATAGCGTTCTCCACGATTCCGGGCTAGCTCCCGCTGTGACGCGCGAGTCCGAGCCACTCGATATGTGCGGTTACCCTGCTTGTTTTGGCAGACCTCCCGGAACCAGTACAAGAGGATGTGTCGACGGAATGGATCGAGGTCGGATTCCCGTTCCCATGAAGGAGTAGTCAGGCCTAACCAATGCGTCTGGTACAGGACAGCGAGAACGCCGCTACGGCCCCGCACCAGTTGATGTCCCGAGATGTGGTCGACCTCGAGGCGCCCGACAGGCACCGACACATCATCCGTGGTGACGTGGACATTTATCTCCAAAAGAGTGCAGAACATAGCGCGAAAGCTCGGCAGGTAGAGATTGCGGCAAGTCGTCCGTCTCGTACGGATTGCGACAGGGCTTGCAACGAAGGACAGACACGCGACAACGAGCTGCTGCGCCTGAAAGATCGAAAGGCAGGTCCAGGTAGAGGAGTTTATGCGCCAACGGGCGGCCGTCCGGAGCGGCGTCAGCAGAGGCGGGACCCACCGCAAGAACTTTGTAGGGCCCCGTCCAAGAAAGTGCGAATTTGGCCTTGAACACCTGTTGGTCCGTGTCCTTCTGGACACCCTGTCGAATTGTAGCAGCCGTGTTGTACACCCAAGCCCACCCGCCAACGGTAAACTGAGGGAGCTTGTGAATGGCGTCCAGCAGGGATGAATTGCGACGTTCGACTCGCGAAATCTTCAGGGCGTTGTACTCACGGACAAGTTTGTAGGCCCGGCGCTGGCGATCGACAGCCAGGTTGCAATACTGGAGTTGATCGCGGGCCAAGCTTTGATGACCACCTACCGTGGGATGATCGAAGACCGAAAGCGGAAGTCGCGGGATGCGTCCGATGTGGATCTCGTTTGGCGCCAATCCAGTAGACTGGTTCACGGAATTGTTGTAGGCACACTCAACGTGCGGGAGATGTACGTCCCAATCGTTTTGCTGTTCGTTGACGACCACCGCAAGCATCTGGGCCATCGTGTGGTTGACGCGTTCCGTGCCGCCGTTGGTCGGTGGGTGGTGGGAGCTGGTGGTGACCTTCTTGATCTTAATCACCTCGTAGATCGCCATGGAGAGCTTCGAGCAGAAATGCAGTCCGTTGTCCGGCAATACCGTAGTCGGACATCCCCACTTGGTCACATACTGGTTGACGAAGATGTGAGCCGCCCCTTTCGCCGTAAATTCCGCCGCTGTAACTGCGAACATGTCGTCTCTCCGACTGAAACGGTCTGTGAACAACAAAATGTAGGAGTTGCCCTTGGCAGTCAATGGTAGAGGTCCGAAGAAGTCGACGCCGACGACCAAACCAGAGAGGCAAGAACATAACGATGATGGGCCACCGAGCGGTCTGACATGAAGTCTTGCAAGCTTGACGCACCAAACACGCCCGAAGCCACCAGCGCACGGAACGATCCAAACCAATCCACCAGTAGAGACGTTCAAGCAGACGCTGTGTACGATGGACGCCGAGATGGAAGGACGCAGCGGTATGGCATGCATGAAGGACCCACGGACGCATCAGCATTGGCACGTAGACATGGGGCATGCCAGTATCCGGCAGACGAGTGGTCCTGTCGCCAGAGCGCCCAACCGGCGACGTCGCCGATTTGTGTACGAGAAGGGTGACGTTGTCGTCGGTCGTGTGCAGTCTGGTTTTCGCCGCCAACGCAAGAACATCATCTAACCGAGGGGAGCGAAGAGGAGCACTGAGAGTGAGCAAGTCCGGAGGGTTGGGGAGGGAGAACTGCTAGCCAAAAAACGCATGGTCACCACGCACTTGCTCTCCCGCTGTTGTTCCCTAGCCCAATCCACAGTGCTGAAACTCGGAACACAAGCCAGCAGGTGGGAGGTGTTGAAATCAGTAGATTCCAAACCAAAGTCAGGCGATCCAACGGAAGAGGCTGAAGAAGGAGAAGCCCCAGCGACTGGGGCAGCCGCAGTCCGTGATGATGTCCGCGAAGGGGACATCGTGAGGGGCGAAGTCCCGGGCGAAACCTGTACAGAAGGCGAAACCGGCGATGCAGGGCGCTCCGATGACGGCGAAGACACCGGTGACATAGGGGCAGTCGACGAAAACGCCGATTGCGGCGTCGCGGATGGCCATAGTAGACGCGCGACGGTCCGGGTGGCCTTGTTTGTCGAGCGGGACCTGCTAGAGCAACGGGCAGGCGACGATGTCCGAGGGACGATGGTAGCCCGCGGCTGGCGTCCGAAATAAGCGGGACCGGCGACGGTGCCTCCGGAAGCAGCGGTAGTCTTGGCCCAAGTCCGTGAAGAAATAAGTGGTCCCCGCTACGGAAGCGAAAACTAAACGTGCACATATCTAGTCGCCAAAGACGCGACAGGATACATCACGCGGGACGCAGCAGGAGTCAAAGGGGAAAAAGGCCCTGAAGATCCGGGAACAGGCGAAACGATGAAGACCCCCGGAGACCGCCGAGAATCCTCGCAGGCAATCGTTGAGTCCGTCAGAGCATCCAACCGACGCGGGTGATGTCGGCGAAAATCCCCAAAATCGGAGGGCTGGAGCGCTGGGGGCGAAAAGACTTCCGCCGGGCAAGGAGGGCGGAGCCCACCCAAACCAACCTCCGGCGTAGAGGACGAGTGATAGTTGCCCCCGCAAGCCCGAATGAGGAAAACACCCGCTTGATCGACACCATCACTGCAGTCGGGGCCGGTTATGTCCGTGTCTTGTGCTGGAAAAGGCAGCCGCGAAAGAAAATCCGCGTTGCCGTTTGCCGAACCTTTCCGATATTTTAGGGTGTAGGTGAAGTTGGATAGAAATATTCGAGCCATCGTTGCACCCTAGCGTTGTGTTCCCCAACCTTGCTGATACTCTCCAAGGCTTTGTGGTCCGAATAAATGATGAGCTTGGTCGACCACAGATAACTGCAAAGGCGTTTGATGGCCCAAACAATGCTACCAGCCTCCAGATCCAAAACGGTCCAGTTACGCTCCGCAGGAAGAGTAGCGCGGCTGATGTACACGATGGGTCTCACCGAGCCATCGAGCTGTTCTTGTTCCAAGGAGGCGCCAAAGCCGTCGATAACCGCGTCGGAACACAAACGGAGAGGACGGCTGTCGTCCTCAACCGCTGCCCAATCCGGGAAGACCAAAATCGGGGGACGAGCGAATTCGCTTAACAACGTTTTGACAACCTTGACCATGCCCAGGGTGTACTTGAAGGGAACGCCTTGTTTGAGAAGAGAGTTGACNCCGAGCCATCGAGCTGTTCTTGTTCCAAGGAGGCGCCAAAGCCGTCGATAACCGCGTCGGAACACAAACGGAGAGGACGGCTGTCGTCCTCAACCGCTGCCCAATCCGGGAAGACCAAAATCGGGGGACGAGCGAATTCGCTTAACAACGTTTTGACAACCTTGACCATGCCCAGGGTGTACTTGAAGGGAACGCCTTGTTTGAGAAGAGAGTTGACAGGCCGCACCTTGGTGGCGAGATTCTTGAGGAATTTCCGGTAGTAACTGAGTCCACCGAGAAGGCTCCGAAGCTGCAAAACATTCGTCGGCGGCGGCATGTGCGTGAGCGCCCTAACCTTGACGCCATCAGGGCTAACACCTGCCGGAGAGATGGTGTGACAGAGGAAGTTGGCGTGTGTGGCGCGGACGCGAGCCTACCCCGGAGACAGTTAGAGGTTGTACTGTCGCATCCGTTTGAAGATCCCTATCGTGTTGAGCACGTGTCCCAGAGATTCCTCATCGAAACAGATGACATCGTCCAGATACGCAAGCACACGCTCCAAACCGTGCACCACTCTGTTGATGACCTTGACGACCAAGACGGACTTGCGTTGGCTCCCTGCGGCATTCGAAGCCATTCGAACAACTGCGTGGGAGTGCAAAAGGCGGTGAGCGGGACAGTGTCTTCATCGCAAACGATCTGGTGGAAAGCCGAGTTGAGGTCGAAGACGGAGAACACTTTCCCGGTGTACAGAGAATCCAAGATACCGTCCACCCGAGGGAGAGGTTGTCCATCCAAATCCACCAGGGCCTTGTAGTTGACGGTGATGGGAACCGATCCGTCCTCCTTGGGGATGACAACCAAAGGAGAAGCCCACGAAGACGTCGAATGCTGTATGAGCCCTGCCGCCAAATACTGGTCCAAAATGGCATCCACTTTCTTTGGATTCAACGGGTTGATACGATACGGACGTGATGCAACGGGCTTCGTCCCTGCGGGGACAGAACGAGTGAACGGCATGATGGTGCAACCAAAATCGGTTTTCGAAGTAGAGAACACGTCAGAATACTCCACAATGGCGTCGGCCAAACGATCAATAGCCTCCGGTGTCCATCCCGGATAGTGTAGATCGAAAGCGATGTCGTGCATATGTGCGGGCAGCCTAGCCCACAAGCGCATGAAGCTGGAGCGCTGTGCCTCAGAGGAGCGGTCAAGTAGTTCTTGTGGAGGCGGTTTCGGGGGAAGCGGGGCGGAGACTGGGTCCGGAGAGCGGTTAATCCCGGACTTGAGGCCAACGACGTTGACCCGAGGTGGTTATGTAGAGGTTGTGGGACCGGCAGGAATCGAATATGGTGCCGCCTTCAGGGTTTCCACCGGTACTCGTAGTAGCGGCGCGGCAGACACTCCAATAACAACTCCCGGCTCCAGCTCGGCACAACCTGCAAGGGGAACACGTTGGAGACCATTGGAAACGAACGAATCTGGGGACGAAAGCGCACCCACTTCGGGTTTGAACGATACCACATACTCTTCAATCAGCGCAGGCATGCCAGAAGAACGAACGAGGTCCACCTCAACGAGTGCAGGCTCCGGCCCCAACGAGATTCCCGAGCTCCCTGCATATGTAAGGTGAACGAGGAGGCAGGAGCGTCGTCGTGTGTAGCGTACACGCAAGCGCCAGCTGTAAAACGCGGAGAGAGCGTGAGCTCGCCCATACCCCGGCCGTCCGGTCCAGGGTGGGGGAGGGTGGTGAACACGCGAAGGTTGAAGCGCATCCAGCTATCACGACCCAGAATCACGGCGTGCCCCATGGCGGCGTCTGGAACAACACAAGCCCAGACCGCCAAGGGAGCGGTAGCTCTATCTCCATGGAGAAAATANACCCCGGCCGTCCGGTCCAGGGTGGGGGAGGGTGGTGAACACGCGAAGGTTGAAGCGCATCCAGCTATCACGACCCAGAATCACGGCGTGCCCCATGGCGGCGTCTGGAACAACACAAGCCCAGACCGCCAAGGGAGCGGTAGCTCTATCTCCATGGAGAAAATAAACGGTGAGACGAACTGACCGGGTGGTCACAAGGGCGGGTCCATCACCAAACCCACCCCAACGACGAAAGGGCGAAACACGAACACTGCCAGCGGTCAAATCTCCAGCAGCTATAATGGCGGTGACCACGGAGTCGGACACGAAGGATGCAGGAGATCCAGAGTCCAGGAGCGCCACTCGCGCGAGTTGAGAAGTGGCTGTCGGTCCTCCATGTAGCAGAACCCGGGTGGTGTATGAGTCCGAGTCCAACAGGAGCTTGCGGCCTTCCAGATCGGGCCCATGTTCCAGAAGGGGAGGTTGGTTCGCACAGGCGGAGGTCGATGTCACCAGATAAACGCCAGGAGCATGATCCCCCGGAGCGTCCAAGCGGAGACAAGCTGGGTCTTCGCCCCGGTCCTCCCGTGACGACGAAACTGCCGCAGTAGCAACCTCGTGAATGCGTTGATGTCCATGGAGAGAAGGCTGTGAAATGGGGGGCGTGGGAGAAGTGAAAGCAGAGAAATCTTCTCCAGACAGGGGATGATCACGCAGAAGGCGTCGAACTTCCATCAAAGCTTTTCCCAACAAGTTTTTACCGCTAGCCGCCCACTTGGATGAAACGCTAGCCTCTGGAAAGCATGCAGACATGCCGATACCCCAAACACGGTCGAAGGGGCTGGCTTCCGCAAGGAGGCGGGTACCCGTCCCCAGTAAATGATGTTTCATGGCATGGTTTTGAACAAATTTGGCATACGACCCCGTGAGCATGATCTGTTCTCGACGACCCTCCCATTCAGCATCGTCGAATGGGCGGACCTTACGACCCAAAAACTTGTGGATCTGTTGCAGCCATAATTTTGTCATAAGACGTCATATCTCCAAACAACTTCGCTTTTTCAGACATCATAAATTGCTCACTACATGAATAACGTACGCCCTGTACGTCAAACGCCGAAGGGGTCCACTGCGAGAACACAGACGGAGGTTTCCAAAAGAGAAGGACGTCATCCGAAGCGTACTCGCACTTGTTATCAAACGGCGGAGCCGGTGCAGGGCGAAGGGGCAAAGAGCGGGCACCAGGCACAGGCGGGGGCGGACCAAGCGGACGGGTCCTCATCTCCGACGGGGAGGACCCAGAAAGCGAGGCAGGAGCGGGCGAAGTTGCAATGCTCCGTGATCCGGAGGGCGGCCTAAGGGCGGCGGCTCCGGCGGGGTCAATGTTAGCAGAGGCCACTCGGCTAGTAGAGACCCGTTCGTTAGAAGAAGTCATTAAGAAGTCATTCCTGCAGCAGCCGGACGTTTGTCAATTGACGGAGGGCGCTCTTGACTACTCCCCCTTTACAAAGGAGCCGAACCTTCCACAGAATGGTGGACACTACCATCCGATCCCGATGGCAGTGGTGCAGTCAGCACGTGGTGGGCAGCAGAGGAAGACGCATTCGTATCAGGTGCTGTCACAAGGGGGCAGCGGACGGTCGAAGACAACGAAAGCTGCGAAAGAGGAGGAGGATCGACTGGGGTTCCCGACGAGTGTAGAAGAAGGCTCGTGTGCGATCCGAGAAGAGGCCCGGCTGACAACACCAGGAGAGTCTTGACGAATAGTAGAAGACGAAGTTCTTGTTCCTTCTGTAACCCGAGACGACGAGGTGGGCAGGGGTGAACCGCTCGACGTCTTACCTCCCTGTCGCCCACACCACAAAGGTACTGCTGTAGTGGGTTTGTCATGTCCAATACGAGCAGACCATGAGGCGGACAACGAGAAGGCGGGCCGAGAAACTAGATGTGATTGAGGAACGTCGTGAGTATTCGAAGAAGTAGGCTGTACACGAACATCTTGGGAGACTCCAAAAGGGTGCACGGTGATTGCTATTGACGGTAGTACGGGCTGAACTCCGCCATCGGCTTGTCATTCCTTACCCCTCCAGCCCCTTTGAGCCGAAGTGGAAGCCTCCGACGAGGGCTCTGTGTGTGAGGACTGTTTCGTGTCCGATGTGTCAAATGAGCGGCGGGCGCGTCCTGAGGAGTGATTTCGGTGTGGGTTGCGTTGTGTAGATCGTCTATAGGAGGTCATGCGCTTTTTCCACCGGCTCCGAAGTGTATGATCTTTTTCCTTACAGATCTAAATGTCGTTGTAAAGCAGGCCGGTGGCGTTCACGAAACCACGATTACAGGATTTGAAGGAGTGATCTTCTCCCAAGCAGTTGAGGCACGTGCCATTGTACAGTCAAAGCGCGCTGCGGCGTTCTGCAGCCGAGACCAAGGGGGTGAACAATGGCGGATCGTTCTTGGTTAGTGACATCTCACTAGCGACGTTGTACACCTCTTGGAGGTGTCCTTGCAACGGCCAGTCACTGTAGTGCAACAGAAAAGGGTCCCGATCATCATTAGGTAGAGGGTCAACACTCATCATGGCGGCCGAAGAGCCCTGGCTCCACGAAAAAGTCACTGTCGAACGCAACGCCGAAGAAGCTACAGTACGCGAAACAGCAGACGAACCCCTAGCATTCGCGGAAGCTACCGAAAAGAAATCGTCTCCATGCACCGCCGGCGTGTGCGCGCACGCACGCTTGTCCAACACATCCCACATATCATCCAGACACGAAGCATGTCGCCCAAAAGGGGCTTCCATGGGAGAGCTGCTCATCCTTGTACACCTGTCCAGACACTAAATACCGGAAATTGCTTCAACATGGAGTCTCGAACAGCTACTTGCACTTGCGCATCCGAAGGCTTGAACGCGTGGTGAGAAACCATGACGGTCATGGCCAGAGCCTTATAGCGACGGACGTATTCTCCGTAAGTCTCGCCGTTGGATACGCCAAAACTGCGAAGACGATCAATCCACGAGCTCTTGTCTTGAGTGTCCCAGGCAGCCGCCAATTTGTGGATGAAGAACGCCTACGTCGAGGGCCCTGCCGGTTCCTTGCGCAGATGGTTTTCTACCTGTAGCAAGGTGGCATCAAGAAATTCCAGCGTGGCACGGTTGGTGGTTTGGCCTTCAACGACAGCAGCACGGACACGTTTGCGCAACAACGGAAGCCATCCGGTGACCCAGGTGGAGGAATTGAAAGTCTGCTTGCGCTTGACGTCGCTTTTGTTGAGGATCTCTGTGACCACACCCTTGCAGCTAGACGCGAAACGGGCGAATTCATCAGGATCAGGATCGAGGGGCAAGCGTGTGACATTATCAAGTTGTTCCGGCTTCAGCTTGTTCATCTTGTCTTGAATGCAGATGGTGTCGGCCTCCGCTGCAGCGGCGTCCGCAGCGTCTAGAGCCTCCTGCCTCGCTCTCGCTCCCGTGGAAGACAAAGGTAAGCCAGCATCGTCCTGTGGCAACGGCGATGTCGCTTGACCCGGTGGCTCGATGATGTGGCCTGTCGCAGAGCTAGGATCAATCAGAATAGACGC